ATGCGCTACCGATAGTGATATCTGAGATTCAACCCGGTCAGCCTGCTCATCGATGTGGTCAAATCTTTGTTGGTGATGCAATTCTATCTGTAAACGGGTACGACCTTCGAAACGCCAAGCATCAGGAAGCAGTTGAGATTCTCAGCTCACAGGTACTGTTATTTATAAAGTTTGAGTTACTATACAGTAGTTAGCCATTTTGATTACACTCAAACATAAGTCTGTTCACTGCGGACGCTGGGGCGTGTCAGGGGGATAGGCATGGGGTGGCGCCAGAACGTTCTTCACCAATGTGGTAGCTGGCAGGCGACTACAATGGGTGGAGAACTGGCTGGCGCCGCGCCAATCCCGGCTTCCCTGACGCGTCCCGGCGTCTGTAGCGAAGAGGACTACTGCATATTTTCTGAATAGCGTTTCTGGAGATTCCACACAATAATTCCTCGGTCATTCAGTGCTCCGATATCCAGCTTTTTTTAGCAAGGTGACCTGCATATGGAAGTGGTTTATGTAGCTCCCGAACAGGATTCTGATGACGATGGGACGGTGTTGATCGAAGACGCTGACGGCCGAATGTAAGTATACTAGACACCTCTATTTTATTTATTCAGTTAGTATTTCATAAACAGTAGGTGTCAGGCATCAGAGTAATGTGATGATATCACCTCAAAGAACGTTTGAAGCCACATTCCACGATCATCTGGGTGGAGCAGTGCTCTCCATCAGTAGGTCAACGGGTACGTAAGCGGAAGCTGTGATGATTCCCTGGAATTAGAGAGGAATGGAAGCTTCAGAAAGTGATTCGTTTCCCTCAAAGGCTATGGGAGTTTATCAGTAGAGGTCAACGTTTTTTGCGAAGGGAAGAGTGTCACTCTGATAGGCTAGGTTGTCCTTTTGGGCTATAAATTTCTAACTGCCAAAAGAAGCACCTGCGAGTCAAGGCACGTCCAGACCTCGCGTGAGCAACGCGGCCGAAGTTGAATTCTGCCGTTGCGGCCGTGCACCGTTTGGGGATGGAGCAGGATCGCTTGATTGCATCGTACGATCCAGTCGAGCACTTTGATCACGCGATCCAACCAACGCGAAGTATGAACGCGCTTTGAGTGTTCCGTTTGGCGTTCCATTTATGGGATTGCTTCAAAATTCCGATAGGTGGGCGATTTCGCAGTGAGCGTTGGTCCTACGGGCAGAGTCACTTGGACTTTTGTACCTTGTTCAATGCCACTTCCTCAAGGACCTAGAAGCTTTCCAGCCTGCTTCCTGCAAATTTTCGAGCCCCGAAAAGAGCACACTCTTGGCGGGTGCGAATCCGGAATTCCTACTACCGCAGTTACTGTACTTGTGCACTGATCGTGGGGTGTGGTTCTGAAGAGCTTCAAGTCATTGATTTATCAATTTCAGCTACAATATGTACAACAACTCGGTTGAAGAGCCGTCATCAAGTCGATCGTCAACTACGTCACATCAAAATTCAGAGTAATGACTAGTAACCTTGACGCATTCCCGACTTCAGCAATTTTAATGGGCTCATTAGTTTTAATACATGATCGGTTTTTAACCCGACAGCGATTAGTTCTCTCCAAGACTCCCTTCTTTTGAAAAATCTGTCAAAATTCCTGAAGTCGATGTGTCTTCCCCATTTTACGGCTTTTTCCCCCACCTCAGCTCAGGATATATCCTCCCACCACCCCCGGGCTAATGCAATGTTCTCATACGCGATTCTGCGTCTTCCTACAGCTGGCTTCTAGACATTCCATTTTTATCGATCGATATCGATTGATATTGCCACTATCGATTCGATCTCTTCTAGTGTCTACGCTATTGATTTCATAGTTCATAATTCAATCTGTTTTCTGTTTGTATTTGCCTGGTGATCGAAGGTGCCATCGAAGTGCTCTCCCTCTGTCTGTCTCGTCGATATTTTTTCGCCTCTCTTGTCATTGTACATACTTGTTCGATGGAGATTTAGACATTTCTCTTACCGGAACTCTACGGTGCTATTTATGATGAGATTTTTATTTGTATAATAAATTTCTTTTTGGAAAATCGCCATTTTGTACTGCTTTATTTCCATTTTGCATTCGTTGTTATTAATGAGCGGTCAGATTAAAGCAAAACTATGACGGCACCCCTGAAAACGGCTGTTCAGGATTGGGGCGGAGTTCTCTGGCTTGATATTTATTCATTGAACTCGGCTTCAGAAACTCAGAAGAATTTATTTTCGCTATCGCTGTAATCAGTCGGGCGTGTCAGCGGCGCATGGAATTTGGCGCCGCGCCAGCCTTTTTCCCCCCACTGCCCGAAACTGGACGAATGGAAAACAGGCAGGCTCCACCCCAGAACCACGCGCGGCTGACACTCCTCGACTCAGTA